GGTAGCAATAAAGTCAGTGAGCAGCGCCGGTGTGCCACGACCCAGATTAAACACCTCATTCGACATCCACGTTTTGTGTCCAGAAGGCAAGCGGCGTATCATTTGCTAAAATAATATGCTAAACGCTTTTACCATTCCGACACAGCCACCAAGTCCTGGAAAGGATGTTCACCTGAACAATATGGTTGGCGTACAAAGTACAGAGCACTCGACTTGGTCTATGGTTATTACCGATTGCTTATGAGAGCGAGTGATATTCCGTTGATAGCGGTGATTACTCCGAGCGGGGTGCTCTGGGTGTGCCCGAAGTGCTGTCAAATGCACCAGCAAAATTTTATCGTCTTGTGACACAATTATTACGACCCCATCGGGAGTATGTGCAGACATACTTCGACGACATCTTCGTCCAAGTGTGCGAGGCACGGGAGGACGATGTGTTTTTCCACATCGTCCGGTGCTCGAGTGCATGCGCTCGAATGTGCTGTATGCTATTGTCAATAAGTACATCTTCGGCTCGGAAGGAATTCTCTATACGGGTGCTTTATTGGGAAGCGTGACATTCGAGCGGATCCCGCTAATGTTAAGGTCATTGCGGACTGGCCGGTTCCAAAGAAATAACAGTATTTGCGCAAGTGGCTTGGCCTCGCCAACAACTTGCACAGGTATTGCGAAAATCATGCGGAAATAGCTATTGTCTAATTTCCTTTAAAAAGATAAAGAATGATGTCAGAACATGGATCATCGGGAGGCTTTTGACAGTATTAAGCACAGCCTTCCTTATCAAGAACAGCGTTGCCAGACCCGATCGTCCTTTAATTGTCGTCTGTGACGCTTCAGACTTTGCCGCCGGGTGTGCACTGCTGCAAGCAGAAACTGTGAGGAGAGATCGGATGATCGTGTTCGAAATTGCCAGCTTTAGGCTGCGGAGAATAGCTACCTAGTCCACGACATGGAATTACTTACGATGAAGAATGCACTTGTCAAGTTCAGGGTGCGCCTGCTTAGCTCAAAGTCGTTTGTGATCTACACACTACACAGATCATGCGTCAGTACGCACTGCGACTCAGTCGCCTCACCTCTTGCAGAGGATGGCCAGGTGACTTTCATTCTTTGTAGAAAATAACATCAAGGTAAAGTGTAAACTAGAGAAGCAGAATGCTCTGGCTGATGCGTTGTCACGCAGACCGGACTATGAGCTTGCTCATGTCACGACGGTGACGTCGTCAGTGACGGATATGATCCGCGCCGCATTTGCGGGTGATGGTATGTGTGTAGCGCTGCTACAGGCACTCGGGAGCAAGGAGTTTCAAAACTCGGACAAGAAGTCGGTGTTTTCTTGCGCACGGTACACCGAAATTCTTTGAGTAGCGGTTTGCTGTATCATAGCACCAGTTCAGCGGATACGCCACGAATTGCGGTTCCTCACGATGGGGATGTAAAATACCTTAACCCTATAAGAGGCCCACGACACCCCACACAGTGGTCATCTCGGTCGTATAACGACGTACAGCTCAGTGAGTTGCCACAATTGGTGGCCCAAGCCGTACAAATGGACGAGCACATATGTGCGCACGTTTGAGACTTATCAAATTGTGAAACCCTCTCCAAATGCGGCGTCACCAATGGCCAGTTTACCGGTGTTGGCAGTCCATTAGTATGTACTTTGTGATTGGCTTGCCGACGGACTCGACGTACAACACGGGTGTGGTGGTCTCTGTGGACCGTTTGGGCAAGATGGCTCACCTTGCGGCGGTGCCGGACACCATCGACGGTTTACAGCGACGCTGTTCGTCGATAGTGTCTTTCGACTACTTGGACCTACGGAGTCATTTGTCTCTGGTAGAGACCCGCGCTTCACCAAGAAGCTTTGGTGTACTATCTTCAGGGTGCTGACACCAAGTTGACTATGCCAACAGCGGACCATTCGCAGACCGATGACCA